CTCTTCTTCCCGTTTTTTTCCCCCCTGCCACAGGCTGGCCACTTGAACCTGGATGTTTCAGTTGCTTCGCCTTCCATGAGCAGGGAATGCGGCTTTTTCTTTTTTGGCCCGATTCGAGTACCGTGGGTGGTGGGGTGATCTTCTAAGTAATCTTCTTTCTCTTCACCTCTCTTCTATGCCTATAAACATAGTTTCTTTTGAAATTTTTGGGTTGTTGAAAAAGTTTACAAAAGAGGAGAGGAGTAGGATTTTTGCAGTGAGAGGGGTTTAGGAAGGGGATTTTATGTGAAAGCATCTCCTTGAGGTGGTTTCTGGTTTTGCGGTGCTTTACATTTGCATCAAAGGAAGGTACTCTTCTTCCCCCCTTCTCAATGCCCTGTTTCCTTTCGGTTTTCTCTCTGTCGAGCCTTTGAGCATGGCCCTGTTGGATGGTACAACATGCTAGTTTACTTTACTTTCATATATTTTTGAGATATTCGCATGTGAAGGATGAAATGTAAGCATGTGTTAGAAATTGGACTTAGATATTTGCTTAAAGTGGTGGATATATGACATATTTTTTGTTTATCATATCATGTTTATGTTGGCAGCGATTTGGATAATTGAAGCATGGCTTTGGAATAATTTATACTCCTCTAGCAAACATGTTGGGAGGTGTATTGTGAAACTTTCTGTTTATCTTTCGTTTAGCATGAGATATTGAAGAATCTATTCGGTCTTTCATGCATGTTAAGGGGTCTCGGCTTTGGCATCTTAAGACTTGCTCTTGCATAAAATGAATGCTATAGAGTTCACTTTACATTTTTATACATATGTGGGGGTTCGGTTTAGCTCTTGCGGCTTTCCCTTACTTGAAATGCATGTCATGAGAAAATTTATTTTAGGAAGAAATTTATTTAATCTGGAAAGATTTGTATCTTGTTTTGAGGGCTTGGTTTAGCTCCTCGTGAGGCATCTCCCCTGCTGCCCTGCTCAAAAATCTGTTGTAATCGTTGTATGCTTGGAATATTTAGACATGCAGGTTGTTCCTTGGCTTTGGATGGCTCGGTTTTACTTACAGGTGGCTGAAACTTTAATTCCTGTTCAAGCTTGAATTTATATCAATGATTGGGTCCTGTTTTAGCCTTGTTGAGCTCTGTTTTGATTTTTGGTTCTTGTTGGGCTCGGTTTTGGCTTGGTTTAGAGTCTCGGCTTTGGCTTAAAATGGCTAGAAATTTATTTTTTTATGGAAGCATGGATTTTAATATTGTTGGACTCGGTTTTGGTCCTTGTTGGGCTCGGTTTTGGCATGGTTTGGAGGCTCACTTTGGGCTCTTACTGATTTTCGATTTGTTTAGAAGTGGCTGGAATTTTAATTTCTATTAAAGTCTAAATTAATATCAATGCTTGGGTCCTGTTTTAGCCTTGTTGGGCTCGGCTTTGGCCCCTGCTGTCCCTGCTGTGCTCGGTTTGGCTCTAGTTGGGAGCTCGGTTTGCTTTGTTTGGCTCTTACCCGAGAGGTGGTTTTGCTGGCTTTGGTTGAAATATTATAAGATTCCTTATAGACTCGTATGCATATTGAATTCTTATCATTGAATTACTGTAGTTTAGAAGTGTGATTACTCCCAAGTTATCTTCACACAACTCATTATGTTGCTTTCATATTAATTCTAGTTTTTAAACAGCTGAACAAGATGAATAGAAGAGTAGCAAGTGTATATAGAATACGAGAACAATAACAAAAAAAATATAATTTTTACTTGTTAATTTTTATTACTTTCTTTAGTGACACTTTCATGTATTATTTAAAGATTAAATTGCTATTGATAGAATTAAAATAACAGAAAATTGATTTTCACTGTCCGACCGTCAATTCTCGTCGTGGTTAACTCCAAGCCCCGGTTCGGATCGTGACAAATGGATAAAATTAAGGCAGCTCGGAAAGTTAATAGTGAATATTCAAAACTTCTGAAACAACTTCAATTAGGAAAGAGGTCGGATATAATTGTCGATGAAAATGGTATTATCAGAAATAAGCTGCAGTTATGGGTACCTATTGATTCTGATTTGAGACAAGAAATCTTACATGAAGCTCATTATTCGGGTTATACAATTCATCCAGGCGGCACTAAAATGTACAAGGCCTTGAAATTGATATTTTGGCTGCCATGTATGAAGAAAAATATTGTTGAATATGTATCTCAATGCCAAGCTTGTCAGATTTATTGTGATCAATTACATCAAACATAAGTCAATAAGAAATCAAACACAGCACACGTGTTACTGCCAAATAAATTAAAATAAAAGAACAATATAAATATTATTATTTTCTTCAAAAAGTACAAATCAACATAGCATGATTTGATATAAGAAAGCTATACTGATGTTAATTTTCTATTTTAATTGACGCTAAGGAAATGGAGCTGGCTTAAAAAATCAGATATCTCAATATTGTAAATAAAATACGGACTAACTTTTACAAGTCAACAAAACAGAAATTTGCACAATTCTACTCTGAAAATTGAAACTGTATTGTTGCAATTATTGAGAAATTTGAAGAATGTAAGAGAAATTAATAAGACTTTAATAGCATACCAACAGCGCCACCTCCAGGGCTTTGTGCAGCTATATAAGCAAAGCCAACATCAGGGAACAAGCCAATTCCATTTTCTGGCATTGCTAAAAGAGTTCGCTAGCACACCAAGAAAAATTTGCACCAGAAAAACTTCAACAATGATAGGTTGCATTTGGTTTAGTTCTAGGATTTTGGTCAATGATTTCCAATAGAAGTTGTACCTCAGTAATGATACGATAACGACCGTGGCCTGAAAGACCAATGCCAAAGCCCATGGTCACCCCATCCATAAAACAAATATAAGGCTTTTGATAGTCAAATATTTTACATATCAAAGTGTATTCTGCGGCAAATACCTGCAAGACACAATAACAAAAGAGATAAATGGAAAATAGAACTCAACATAACAATTTCCGATAACAAGTGTTACACAAAATAGCAGAAGTTAGGGAACTAGAAGGATAGCAAACAGTAACATCTATTTTTTCACTAAGAAATAGACAATTTGAAGATGAAAGTCTCCGATCAATTTGAATTGGCAGCCATATCCAAGAGAATCTTTCATTCATAGAAGGCAAGAAATGAATCTCTGCACAAAAGGTAAGAAAAATCCCTTGACCCACTTAAGCAGGTCAACATTAGCTTTCTAAAATTCTTTGACTTTCTAAAATAACTATAATTGCTCTGAATTACAAACTTCTGATAACCTAGACAATCATATCTGTATCCTGTTACCCTGAACAAAATTTTTTCATCACTATTTTATGAAAAATTATGATACATATAATATTCTCTCCCTATTTGTTTATTCCAAAGCACAAAGAGCACTAGCCCACATTTCAGCAGCTGATACCTAGAACAACAGGAACATCTTATGAGCATAGAAAAAACCAAGGGAACTTTCTCAAGCAACAACATTACTTGCGATTCATATAAGGCTCATCACCATTCTCGTACCTAATTTCTACATCTACCCTAATTTGGGCTTTTTTAATCAGGCATGCTTTTTGTCTCCCAATCCACATAAGCATCCACTCCTATTCAAACCTGTTTTTTGCCATCAAAACAGCAAACAGCAAACCGTGCTTTTGTTTTCATGTTCAAAGGATAGATTTGACGGTCTTTGTTCATTCTCTTCGGGTTAAAGAACACTACTTAACTATATGAGTAGATAATGCATTTAGTATCTCGTGGATTAAAGCATGATCAGCTACACAGCGATATTTAATATTTTGCAATAAAAAGCAATCCAACAGAGACACAATTGAAAGTAAATTCAGGTTTTCAACAAGTGCCAATTTAACCTGATCACAACTTCAAATATGGAAATTGGTACGAGGGACAAATACTAACACATCACAGATTCAGTTTAGTTTGGTATTATCATGTCAATTTCAGTTAAATCAAATTTATAGCCAAATTCTCCTGCCCTAAATGGTTTACATACTCAGCAAATGTGGTTGAACATATTATCATAAGTTTTCCGAGAAAGCAACTTGAAAACAGAAACAAGAGCCAACCATTTAGGGCATTAATTTACCTGAAAGTTACATGGTTGTTTTACAGTGAATGTCCACACTCGCCTCTAGTTTGCCGCTCCGATTAACAACCTAAAATCCACAATTAACTTCAAATTTAAATATATTTTGGCTAAAAAAAGTAATTTAACTAAAAATATAATGATTTGCTAAAACATATCTTGAACAACCTTCTCGGCGACAACTCTTCTCCAAAGTGTCCAAATCTACATGTCCCTTCTCTGTATATTCTCAAACTCTTTCCTTCACTGAATTCGTGTTAGAATACCTTACGGAGCTCACAAACCACATTCAACACAAGATTGCAGCCTTCGACAACTATCAGAAAGGAAAAAGCATGAAAAACGAGGAAACACTCAAAATAGAAGCTAGAGAAAGAAAATGAACCTCTCAAATAGTATGAAATTGGGTTCAATACTGACTAAAAATACCCCGTAGTCTTAAAATGAAGATTGCGGCACTTTGTGGGCTACCCAGTTGCAGACCGTGGCTCAGGTACAGTGCAGAGTCGTGTAAAAGCTTACGGGAAGGGAAGGAAACGGAAGTTGGGGAAGAGGTGCAATGCTCAGGTGGCCTCTTGTCGCCTCAGCTCTCGTCTGCGGGTTGAGCTGCGATCGCAACCCCTCATAGGAGCTTTTGTTGAGCTCGATCGAACGAGGGAGGGTGAATGAGTGAAACCGAGTGGGGGAGAGGGAATTCGGGAGCAGGGGAAGAAGTTTCGAGAGTTTTAACCTATTCAACGTATTTAACACATGGTAAGTTAGTGGGGAACAACAATGCGAGATTAAGGAGGGTTAATTAAAGTTTAATTAGATTTGTTTAGTTAAACTTATAACTTCAAATTTTTATTTGTCTCAATTTATTCATAATTAACTTACGATGCTTTATATAGAACTAATTGATTTTTCGTGTAGAATTTTATAAATTTATTTTGATTAAAATCCGAGTGGTGCAAAAATTGAGGTACAATTTAAGTCGCAAAAAAATTATTTCGTTTTCTCAAAAATTGGTTATTACATTATTTCATCATCGAAATTCATAAATTCCACATCGACTATGAAGAAGAAACAAAAGTGATTACAAATATCTATTTCTTGTGAAGTGGTAACTAAAACATGTGATAAACTAGACATCTGATAAATCCAAGATAACACCCAAAAGACAAATCATCCATCAAATAATGTATCAACATCAGTAGAAACAGTTTCTTCTGATTCTTGACAAGTTGGGAATAAACTTTTGGTTGAGTGTTTTGTCTTGGTTTCTCATCACGGCCACATTATCAGCTTATGCTATCCTCTGCTGACTATTTTTAGGAGTAAATCCTTCTTGAAAATTCCCTTGAGCTGGATTCCTTCTTGAATGAACATCTAATGTGAATCTTTGAACACCATTAGGACAATTTCTCCTCTGATGTCTAGGCTGTCTGCATAAGTAACACTTCTTCGACCCAAGTAAACATTCACCGCGATGTTGCTTTCCACACTTAACACAGAACTGTACAGTGCTACTGCAAGCCAAGCTAACAGCTCCACTAGTGCAAGACGACATGTTCTTCCCACTAGACTCTTCTTCTGAATGAGATGTTGGTGTCACTTCTTCCGAACTTTTCCTCTTGTGCAACTCTCTTTACTTTTGATTATGCTGGAAATCAATCTCCACCGCTTAGCACTCTCCACTAGTACTGAATAGTCTTCAATTTCAAGTGGCATTAGTTGCTGTTTGATTGAATCTTTCATTCCGGAAATAGATTTATGACATTTTTCCTCTGCATTTAGAATAAGTTAGGGTGCATATCTCGATAGCATAGTAAACTTCTCTTTGTATTTCATAACTGTCTGTTCTCCTTCCACCAACATAATGAATTTATCTTGCATCTATCTTCTAGTTGACAGTGATACAAACCAATATCTCTGAAGGCTTTTATAAACTCATCCCACGTCACCAAGTGGCTTGTTCTTCCTCGAAACTTCTCATGCATTTGTCCTTGCCACCGTCTCTCAACGTCCCCTCAAAAGCAAAAGTGACAAGGGTAACTCTTCTCTCCTGTGGACATGACATACAATCTATGATTTTCTCCACTTTCAATAGCCAATTTTCTCCTTCCATCGACCCTCCTGCTCTAAAAAACAAAGGCGGTCTCATATCTTGAAAAAGCTTCAAGTATTATTTCTATTGGTGCTTCTCCACTGGTATAAGCTTGAGATTGAGAATTTTTAATCGAGTCACAACATCATCATATAAGAGAAATCACCAACACTGGCTGTGACATTTTGGGGTACAACAAATTCTATATTCTCATTTCTAACCTCTTCCTCTGGATCATCCATAATTTTAAAATAACAATCATATAATTTAATTAGACTTAATTAAAAATTTTAATTTATATTATTTATAACTTATAACTTAATCCAATTATCTTGTTGCCTCTTTCATTAAAATTCATCTTATTTAATCTAAACCTTTACTTTGATCTATTCCTCAGCTCTGATACGATTTTTGTTACGACCCAGCCCAGAGCTTGAAGTTAACCAAGGGGGGAACGAACGGTCGGATAGTGAAAATCAATTCTCTGTTATTCTAATTCTATCCCTTACAATTTAATATTCAAATAATACATGAAAGAGTCACTAAAGAAAACAATTAAAATTAATAAGTAAAAATTATATTTTTCTTATTGTTGTTATCGTCTTTTGTATACATTTGCTCCTTTATATTCATCTTATTCAAATATGACAACAACATAATGAGTTATCTAAAGATAACACAGGAATAATCACACTTATAAACAACAGTAATCTAATGAGAAGAATTCAATATGCACGTGAGTTTATAAATAATCTTATATGATGTCGGTCTTTTATATTTTATAAACAATTAATATATATATACTTATAAACAATTTGATATATGTCAATGCATGCATTAAGGATTTTTTTTTCTAAATGAACATACTTAATCTTCTAAAAGCATTTACTTTAACTACTTTTATTTTATACTTAACACACTACATACACATCCATTTTTGTGAGGATCATTGTCAACAAACCTAACACACCCTTGGTCGATATTACCTTATTGGCTCTCATCGGCACAGTGGTTAGCGATCTACACATCACAATTGTCTAGGATGAAAATGTCTTCATCTGCCCCCGACCGATATTGTCCTATCGACATAGCAGTTAGTAATGTAAACATTACAATTATCTAGGGAGGTAAGCTTTGTTCTACTCGCCCCAGACTGATATTATCCCGTCAGCATAACAGTTAGTGATCTAACCATCACAATTGTTTGGGATGGTAGAAAAACTCTACATGCGTTGATACACTGACATTTCTTGCGAGTGAAATACTCAAAACATGCACATGCAAGCGTTCAAATATAAGTTATTTCATTTTTCATACATATATTATTCTAAGATATCTTTATGCATTTACTAACATGCATATTTAATCTGTTATACAACTATTCATTAGACATATCTTTTATATTCATGTTTATCTCTTATATTTATTTAATGCATATCTCTTACTTATATCTATCTCATACATATCTTTTACTTATAACATGCATATCTTATTAGTTTATCATACATATAATATTTATCTAAATATCATTCATCTCATGCAAATTTTTCATGCATGCACATATTTTTCTATTATGCTTGTCATGAATATCTGTCCTATCGATATAAAGGATTTGATTAACTAGGGCATGCATTTAGTTAAGCTACAATCTTAGATAAAAAAGATCACTGCAATTTAGAACTGCAATTACTCATCTTAGTTGCTACGCTAAACTCCTTATCTTCTATAGT